CACAAATGGCACAATCGAAGATTACAGGTGTTTCATTAGCTATTAAAAACTCTACGTTTCCAAATGTCTAAGAGTTTATGGCTCGGGATGAATTACCAATGAGTAAATTTGATTTATTGTGTTTAATGATTGATTGGTACCAAGATGAAGCTGCGAGTTTGTTTGTCTGAGTGATGATGGCCTATACGTGTTTGATCAATGAGTTTTAGAGTGTGTCCTGGTTTTTATGTAAAATACTGAATTTGTAAAATTGTGTTTTTTGTTGTTGTTTGGTGACTAAAGATAAGTTATATTTATTTTATTTCTTAATTTCCATTCTTCTTGTATAATTAAATATATTTAACTAATTAAATATATTTAAGAAAAACAAACACATTCACAAACCTGGGTTATTGTATTGTTGGTATTTCAGTGCTCCCTCTAAACATTGCTTTGGATTTTTGTGATTTTTTTTTTCAAGATTCTTAATTATAGCTTGTTTTGCTTTGTTGTTTTTTTTCCTTGACAGCCCATACCATGGCGCCTCCAGAAGATGGATTCCCAACGTTGGAGGGAGATCCAGACAATGTAAGGAACAAGGTAAGGTGTCGTTAAATGAAGCCGACAAGGTTTCTGAAGACCATGGAGAGGAGTTGAAGTATAGTTCACCTCCACAGTCTGTGGACTGTTCAACCACCTCCAGAGAAGATGAGGTAGGTAATGAAGACCAGGATAACTTTGACCAAGCGTTAAATTCCTGTGGCCATCAACATTTCTGAATTTGATGGTTAATCAGCTGGGCTCCGGTGACAGTAGTCTGACAGTGGACCATGCTGATGTTGCATCACCCCTGCTTGAGAATGGTCCCCCAAATTGGGGTGACATTGGGGTGGCTCAGAAGCTCCAAGAAGACACAGCTAACCTGTACTTCAGCTGAATTCCCATCTGGACTTGACAAATAGGAAGAGCCAATTTTGTGCCTAGAGGACTCCAGACCTATTGATACCCTGCAACATCATCAGGTAGGTTTGAAAGAGGACGTGGCTCATGTGGAATCTGTGACTGGCATAAGCAGAAAGAGGACAAAGAACAGTGATGCTGAAGAGGAGCTCCCCACCAAGAGGACCAAGGATAGTGATGATGCTAGACAGGAGCCCTCTGCCAGGAGGATCAGGGAGAACCAAGCTGATGATGAGCTCCCCTCTAAGAGGACCAGGGACAGTGTTGATGAAATGAAGCTCCCCCCTGTCCTCAGTTTCTCACCTTGACCTTCGTGTGAGGATTATCAACTGTCATCCCCCGTCCTCAGTCCGTCTTCTAAAATGGTTTGATCATGCGTTGATTGTCCAGCATCACTGAGACAAGACAACAGCGCTGGACCAATCAGGAGAAAGAAGACACAGAGGACTGAGGGAACACAGAAAATCCTGCTGGGAATCCTGAGATGAAGTTTCCTGATGCAACGGGGACACCTGAGAATAAAGAAGGACCATGTTAAGTAGGTCCTGTATTACCAAACCAAGCATGAGTTGACCAACACTTAAAGCAGGTTCCTTTATCCACTGGTTGTAACAGATTTTGGTGAGGGTTGAGGTGATAATGACTTGATCAGAAACTGTGGCCGACAACTGCAAACACGCAGCAAACAGCAAAACGAGCTGCAAACAGGTGAAACGGCACAGGAAAAGCGAAACTTAATTATCTTTTTACATTTTTTGTTTTATTTCATTGAAACCACAAAAAATGTTTCCACCATAACTTCCAATTGATCAATATTTTTTTCTATCAAACTTTGAGTAGTGTGCAAGAATGGCCCAAACATGCTTTGACTTTATTGATCCAAAAGGGAAATTAAATGTAGTTGTAGCTCATTAATTCAGATTCTTCAAAGAGTTATTGCAGATTGCTGTCACCCTTTTGTAGCAGTCTGTATTGCAGCAAATCTGAAGAAGCCTCTGACTGATGATACTCCGTTTCCTCCATACAGACTCATGAAGAGGATGGTGAGAGTTATCCAAAGCTTTCTTGACACTTATGAAGAATCCTTCTTTGCATCATCTCCAGAGGTTTCACAGTCATCTCCAGAACAGAACCAGAACAAATCCAGCCTTCTTTATCAGATTGTTGAACCTTTTGAGGTTCCTGGGTCTGATGCACCAACAGATGATAGCAGAAGAGATGACACTCTCAGCAGACTTAAAGATCTGCAGCAAACTTGCTGCAAATCTTGAAGGATCTTAGCTTCCTGGAGAAGTGCAGTCTGCTCTGTCTCTTTTTATAGACGGCTTCACTGTTGCGTCTCCAGTCCAGTCTGTGTTCCAGATGAACGTCGAGGTATTTATATTCCTGAACCACCTCCACATCTTCTCCCATGATGGAAATAGGGTTTCCCGTTTCTCCTGAAATCAACAACTATCTCCTTTGTTTTGTTTACAGTCAAGATTAGATTGTTGTTCCCACACCATGCCACAAAGTGGTCCACCAGATCTGTGTTATGACTGATGGGTAACTTTTCTTCAGTACCAGGACCAGACAAGGATGTCTTCCACAACTCAGATGTTTCAGAATCCCACAGGGGCAGTCTGGGACTGACACCATCTGGACCTGAAGCCTCATTCCTGTTCAGTCTCTCCAGCTGCTTCTTCACCTGATTTCTAGATACAGAAAAGTTGGAGGTGGAGGTAAAGGGAGCACCAGCATCTCCAAAGGACAAAGCACATTGAAGACAAACTTGTGGAAGCAGAAGAGTCCATGACTGAGGTGGAAGATGGAACATCTGAGCTTTGACTGGAAAGCTGTGGGTCAGAGGAGGATGAGATATCTGTTTGACTGCGGACAGGAGAGGATGATGATGAGCTTGTTCCTGGACTGAACCTGTTGAAGAATGTGTTCAGTTCATTTCCTCTGTTTAGAAAATAATAGTTTAAAAAAAAATAATGGTAGCATGTTTTTATGTAATAATGTATACAGTAATAATGTTTAATTACAAGACAAGAAGATATTAAAGAATGTAATAGATTTTTCAGTCTTATAGGTTGTTTCTATGTTTTATGATGTAGTGATACATGTATTTTTGGGCTTATTGTATTCTGTTTTACACTTGTGTGTAACTTTCACTTAATTTGTGAAATCATGGAAAGTAATTAAGCTGATTGTAGAGTTGAAACGGTTCTAAGCAAATTCAGTAAAAACTTTTTTGCACCTCACTGCTTTGGTTTTATTCAGACATCAGATTTGGGTAATTTGAGATGGTGAATCTCTGCTTTAGAGAAGTAGAACAATCATTTGATTTCCTTTTTTATGCTATTTAAACTCATTGGCGTGAAGTCTGGTACAAACAAGTTACATGAGGTTAAGTCACATAAAAACAAACAAAAGAAAACATTAAAGTTTGATCATCTTTGATGCTTGGTATTCACAGTCCACATCCACTATATAATCTCTTCTCACACTCCTACTGTTACCATGGAGTCTAAAGGAGCAGATCAAGCTGATCTAAGCAAACTTTGCCCTGGGAAGGACTAACAAGACATGGAGCACTGCATAAAAACAGAGATAAAGGACAAAGCACATGGGAAATATGGATGTGAAAAGAATAGTGGACAAACAAACAAATGAACACTGGCCAGAAATAAGAGTCTAAAGGAGCATATTTACAAAAAGAACAAGAGCCATTGAACAAAATATATGAAGAATCACAATCCCCAAGACACATTTAGCAATGTAATAAAAATATCGAGTCATGTTTGTGATATCTGACATATTGACTGGAGAAGTATCGTGGGTCCCAGTCAGACCCATCATGGCAGTTTGTCTTGAACCAAAAGGCTAAATAGATTTGCTTAAGTCAAACAGGAGAACCAGAGCAAATCAGCTTTCCAAACAGAATCAACACATCATGGTCCCAATCCTTAAATTAGAAAAGCCGATGACCTGCACCACAGAACGCCACACAAGGAGAAAAGAGGCTCTGGCCTCTGCAGATCATGAGTACAGACCAGGAGAGAGACCAGGGACAAAAACCACCTCCAGACGGAGCGGGAATTTGCAGCCTGTAAGCCATGGATCAGTACTCAGTACCGAGGCCCTTTCCTGCCCCATGACCCACAATGCAGAGAGCCGGCAGTTTGCCCAACATTTTTTAGTGTCCTCCCCTTTTTTCAGTTTGGGTTGACATATCTCAAGTCAGGTACAGTAAACCAGTTCTTGTATCTCCCATAGTTTATATGCTAAAATCGAAGGTGTAGTCAATATTCCACTATATTATATATAAGTAAACATCATCGATGAAGCAAGATGCCATATCAGAATTAGAGTAGCTTTCATGTTTGTTGTTCCTTATCAGACTGATGTCATGCTAATGGTGAGAAATCATGACTCCATTCTTCCTCTGACATTTCAGGTTGCAAGCAAAACTTTAAAAACACCATTTTGTGGCTTGTCGAGTTCAGACAACAGAGGATTGAACTGCCTTTATTCCTGCTGTTTCAACAAAGACGTTTTATTTTCTTCCTACACCTGCAATGCAAGGCAACAATATTTACATCTGCAACATATAAATTCAAGGATTCTGGACAAACTTAAAAGTTCACTAGTGAACAAGAATATCGTTGATAAACCAATAATTAATTGATTTATTAATTATTTTCAACCAATGGTGATAAAATTAATTGAAATGCCCATTTTAAATGAATTTTATTTTTTATTATTTTTTGTTCCGGATGTTGTGTTTGGATGACGTTGAATAAATAATAGCGCTAGCTAAGAGCTGCAGGATTAGCTCCTGACTACTGTCGAGAAAATCCGGAGAGACGGTTTCTGAGCTGAATGTCACGGTGTTTGCAGTGATTTATTTTCTGTTCACCGTTCGAGAACATTCATCTGAGACCGTCTGTCGGACTGTCGCTGCTGGAGGCTGAAATGTCCCAAAAACGGTCGAAACCGGGATCACGGAGCAGTTAGCCGTTGGGAGCCGTTAGCTGCTAACGGCCTCGCGTCACTGCGAGAGGGAAAAAGACAGCTTAACGACAATCTAGATAAGTGGGTTTTCATTCTGAATTTAATATTTGGACACAACAATAAAACGGCAGGACTCAGGTTTGAGCGCAGTGGTCGACGTTCGTTCTGTGATTGTTGCTGTGGCCAATGGCGCAAAAAGTGGGTAAGTACTGAATGCAACGCACGGGGGCGCTGCAGTACAGGGGGCGTCAGAAACCCCCAATAGAAAAAATGTTTTTCCAGTTGCCATTTTCTATATTTAACAGCACAAAATGATCAATAACAGAGTGATGGCACTGATCAGGCGCCCCGCTGCTCCTTCACCTGAAAATGTTTGTTACTATATGTAAAGGTCATTTTTACATACGTTTATCATATGTGGTTATGTTTATTCAGTGTTGAGAAACAAGATATTTTTTCCTCCTGTTGCTTGTTTTCTAGTCTCCCCAGGCCCATTGATGCCGTTTGTAAAAGTGAAACCATGAAGACAACAATCACTCTTCAACTTCACAATGATCCAGAATTTTAATCAAACAATCAAGTGCATAAAAATCATACCAACAGCTCAACATAATCATTAGAAACCAAAGCCACCAGAAGAAATGAATTACCTTAGAAAAATACAAAAATGCACCTTCAAAAATGCACCTACAACTGCATGTTGTAGTTAGACATTTCCACCCCAGTTATCTGACCAGCTGTTTCAGCTCAATTACTTTCATACCAAGGGGTGTTTCTACTGTGTGATGCGTTACAGTTCAGAGATGGACTCAAACAGCCATAATGACGTGTTGCTGTTTGCAGCAACATGTCATTAACGTCAACAGAGACCATGCAGGTGTTACCAAGGAAGGAATCTATCCACTGTCTAAACTATCCTGCACACTTTCCCAGGGTACGAACAATAGATGTGTTCATTTCATACAGAAACATTTTACTCAAGGAAGCATGACCAAATTTTATCAGCTATCTGTGTTTCTCATTTCAAACTGGTTCCTGAACCACACATAGCTCTCCTGACCTCTGACCCCAGGCATGAAACAGTAGATATCGATTATTAAAATTAGCACACGTTTTATATAATATCTCCAAACTCTTATAAAACAGACGAGCAATTTCAATACCAAAACATCGGTTACAGTCATGTAATGCAGTAGTAGGGGATGAGAAAAACACTGAGGACTCAGGTTGAGAAGAGAAACGATGATTATAATGATGAAAAAACACAGCTGAGCAGAAACTAAAGCTCATCAATGGCAGCAACAGGTGTTGGAGTGGACACCACAAACGAAACGAGATGTATACGACAAGTACCCAACAGATGCAGAAACACAGGTGACATTAAATACACAGGAGGTGATCAGGGAACAAGACACACCTGGGAGCAATCAAGGGGGAGACAGGACCCTCCAAATGAACACACAGAAAAACTCAAACCATGACAGTTACACTCAATATTTTCTGATTAGTTTTCAACTTCCTTAGTTATAATGAACTAAAACAATTTCCAAATGAAATATATGACTTCTACACTCTTAAGAATGTGATCTAATATTAAAAAAAACTACTGATTAGACAAATTTTTTCATACATGAAAAATGTCCTATTGATTAAGTTTATCTGAACGGTTTATCTGATTTATGAAACCACGAGTCTAAAACTAACCTAAACTGAGGCTGACTCAAAACAATCAGGATCCGTCTAATATTTCAACATGCGCTAAAATTAATTATCATTAAAACTAGCATAATTAAACTAATATTTCCAACACTCCTCCTTTTTGCCTGTCAAAAGAGATCACCTAGATCAATGGTCTGAGTCCTAACACATGGTGCAGAGAGGCTACCAGCCTGCAATCAAAGACAATCTTTTATCTGGAGAATCAGACCTTCTTCTTTGGGATTCTCACTGCCCAGTTCCTACCAGCTCCATTGGCTGTTGGTCAAACTATTCTCCCTTTACATTTATTGGCAGCTTCCAATACGAAGATGGAGCTGAGGGTGACCGCTTCCCTTCTCAATGATGACCATAAGTGAGCAAATACACAGCAACATCGACTTGAACCAATAATATCCAGAAATTAAGATTTCTCTAAATGGCAGCTAAAGAAATGCTAAGCAAGAAACCAATGGGGCACTTACACGTTAGATAATGGTGATATCTGATTAAAATGCATAAAGAAATTAATTCCTAGAAGGAAACGCTACAAAGAAACGTCCTGCAGATCATGTCTACATTTTTTGTTGTCCTCCTTTTTAAAGTTAAATTTGACCACAGTCCTAATGTAGTGAGAGCAAAAATGCAACACAAATAATTGCCCAAAAATCCTATCAATAACTAAACGGCTAATCTAGGCACATTATGCTTCATGACAAAAGGCCTGTGAAATATGATAAATAGGGTGAAAATCTAGTAAATTGTCTCAAATCAGAAATCCCTTGTAATGTTATTTCTTGTGATGAAAAGACTGACTTCGGAAACCTGAATCCAAGGACTCAGCGTGTTGGGGCCAGAAATCCAGCTGCATGCCAAGCTGGGGCCAGAGACCTTCTAGACCAGGGGTAGGCAACTCCAGGCCTCGAGAGCCAGTCTCCTGCAACTTTTAGATGTCTCCCTGGTCCAACACAGCTGATTCAAATAGCTGAATCACCTCCTAAATGCAGTCAAGTTCTCCAGAGTTCTGCTAATGACCCCATTATTTGACTCAGGTGTGTTGAAGTAAAAACACATCTAAGTTGCAGGAGACCGGCTCTCCAGGCCTGGAGTTGCCTACCCCTGTCCTGGACAATCTGTAGTGAATATTGTGGCTCCTTGGCTGCTGGGCTCTGGCTCCAGTGGAACCAGGTCTCTCCTTTCCCCTTCAGTCGGACCGTACGCGATGTTCCTCCCACGACTTGGTAGAGTCTGTGAAGCGAGGGTCAGACCACTTTCTCTTCACGACCTTGAGACACACCCACTGGACCCGGGGTGCAGGTGGTTCTTCCTTGAAGGTGTGGGCCCTCAGCTGGTCGGCGAGTCACGCAGGAACTAAAGTGTATATCACCTGTCAGTCCAGGCAGTTTGGTCCAGTCATTGGTCATCCTGTCTAGAGCTCATTGGGAGTGAAACTTCTGGTCTGGTTAACAGAGATGGATATTAAAGCAAGAGATAAAGAAGCATTAACCCAAGTTTAATCAATTTTTGTCTGTACAGATTAACCAATTGAGGCTCCAATTTATTCTTTCCCTATTGTTCAATTCATGCATTTCAGTGGGTGACAGACAACAAGCACGCTTCAACCAAGTATCGTCTCCACCTGCTGCGAGCGATCAACTGACACCAAATTCATGCTATTACACGAGACGCTCTGCTCCCTTTTTTAAGTCATATTCAAAATTTTAATAATTATATTAAAAATTATATTTTTTCTTCAATAGCTTGAAAGTCATGTGCCCTATTGACTCAAAGTCAGTATGAAACAATTCTTCCAGACTGCAGAGAGGATGTACACTCTTGTTCATTGCATTTGAAGCTTTCTGATATTATTTTAATTGTATTTTTGTCATAATTTAGAGGATGCATTTCAGAATAACGCAACACTTTTAATGCAGCTTTGCATTAAAGTGTCATTTACCGACTGACACTTCATGACAACAGTGGTAAACATTCATAAAGTCTTCTCCATGTTCATGACAGATGTCATGTCAGTCTTATGCACAGCCTGTCAAATAAATGTTATTGATAGACTGATCTTTTTAGATCGATCAGATAAAAATCTAGATAAAAAGATATCTATCTACCAAGAGATCTATGTAGAGCAATCTAGCTATAGATCTATATCTATCTATCCATCTATCTTTCCAGATAAATAGATATTGATCTATCTATATCTATGTATAGATAGATCTAGATGATGAATCTATCCAGATAGATCTATCAAGAGATATCTATCTATCCATCTGGATCTATAGATAGATCTGGATAGCTCTATCTAGCTAACTAGATAGATAGATCTATTAAGGTAGATCAATCTATCTAAATCTATAAATATATCTTATGTATCCATTTATCTGTTGGTCTGTCTATCTATCTACAGATCAATAGATAGATTTACATAGATCTATCTTTAGAGATCTGTCTATCTTGAGCTATAGATCTATATAAATATAGATATATCTATAGCTTTATAGATATAGCTATAGATATATTTATATCTATATATATATATAGATATTTATAGATATATAAATATCTATATATCTACATATATATAGATATCTATAGATATATCTATAGATTTCTATCTATAGATGGATAGAAATCTATTTATCTGTCTGTCTATTGTTTTTTTAGGGAAACCGGAGTACCCGGAGAAAATCTTTATTTAAAGTATGATTACTTTATTTCACTAATAAAGAAAATTACAGACAATATCTGTCTGTCTGTCTATCTATAGACAGATGGATACATATCTTTAGATCTATAGATAGATATCTATTGATCTGTTTTGACTATCTATCCACCATTTTTGTAGGGAAACCGGAGTGCCCGGAGAAAACCTTTATTTAAAGTACGATTACTTAATTTTAGTAATAAAGAAAATTACAGACAATATCTTATCAACCCATCTATGTACCTTTCTGTTGTTTTTGTAGGGAAACTGGAGCACCCAGCGAAAACCTATTATACTTACTTACGTTTGCTAATATCTGTCTAACGCAGCTGACGAACAATCTCACAAAAGATGTCAGTTCAAAGTTGAACCACTTAGGTCGCACTCCTTGGCCAGCTGACAAACATCATTCAGTCGATTCAGGGAAGAGATGGGAATTTACCCTCTTGCTACTCTTTGGGGAATTGTCATGGAAGCGCACAGTCTTGGATTTCAGTGAGGGAAGTGTGACAGGCTCAGTACTGCTAACTTTCTCATGACCGAGTGAAGGATTGCTGGTTTTTACGTCGTCATGGTTGTCAATAGGATCCACATAATGGCCGTGACTAGGATCCCCGTCATGTTCGTCAGTACGATGCCAAAGAACGTCGTGAGGATTTTGCCCAAAATACAAGCGAGTACAAGGCACGCGATGTCTGTGAGTAGAATGTCTGTGATGTTTTTCAGTAGAATGCCGGTGATGTTTGTGAGTAGGATGTCCATCAGGTTTCTCAAGAGAAAGCACATCAAGTTTGTCATTCGAACGCATCTCTTCTAGCTCAGGAGAATAGACATCAGGTTTGCGATATGAATTCACATAAGGTTTGTAACCAAAATGGACATCCGGTTTGTGGCCAGCATGAACATCCGGTTTGTCAGCAGAATGTACCGTTCTTCTTCCCACAAGGGACTTGGATCCACTTCTCTCTGGTGCTGCTGCTGGCAGAGTCTCCTGAACTTTGTGATGAACTGGCTTTTTATGAGCAACATTTTTACTGTCCTCTGGAGATGGGACCAGTTCAGGAAACCTGCTCTCACTCTTGTGTTGTACCAGTTTGGACTGGAAGCCTTCCTTTGGGCCACCAACACTCTGAAATATTTCTCTCTGTCTTCTAATTTCCTCCCTAATGATTGGTTTAGTCTTCTCCTGGGTGCTGAATCTCTGCTGCTTCTCCTTCTTTTTCTCAATTTCTTCCAACCTATGCAGCCGGTCCGATTCCATTAAAGAATGCAACTCCTGCTTTTTCATCTTCTCCATTTCTATCTTGTTCTGCCGTTTGTATTCAACTTGATCATCCCAAGCAGCAGTCAAAGATTTTTGCATTTCAGCTTTCTTTTTTCTCTCCTGTTCATCAAGGAACCTTTGGGGAATCCTCTGTGGAGCCATGTCCTTATAAAACTTTTGTCCCTCTAAAGCATCTTTGGCAGATCTGAAGTTGTGTTTTTTCACAACTTCAGATCTGGCCAAATCAAAAACGTCTCGTTTTGTCTTTTTAAGCGGCTCTGATAGTTTTTCCTTCTGTCTTCTTGTTTCTTCGATGATTTTCTTCCTCTGTTCTTCTCTCCAAATGATCAATTCTTTTTCGTAAATAAATAGTTTTCCAGTCCTCTTCTTCTGCTCCTCTCCTTTTTTAACTAAGGCTTCCAGTTTATTTTTATAATCAATTTTTCTCCTGAGTTCTTGGTCCAGTTCAATCGCTGTCTTAATATCGATTCCCTCTTCTGAAATGGAGCTGGACGTGGAGCAGGAGCTTTTGCTCGAATCAGAGTCGGAGGTGGAGGAGGAGTCAGCTGTTTCAGGCTTTTTCTCTTTTGGCTTCTTCTTTTTGGCTTCTTTTTTCTTCCGTTGTTCTTCCTCTTTCTTCAGTCGTTCTTCCTCTTTCCTTTGTTGCTCTAAATATTTTGGAAGAGTAGGCAACCTTTCCAATAATGTACCCAAATAATTATCTTTCCCTACAAATTGGGAATGTTGATTTAAATTAGGTCTACCATTTTTTGTTGTTATAAAAGGCAGCAGCCTTTTGGTCAACTCCTGTGTTTCCTTTTCTAACTTTTGAGCCATCATGATGAAACTCACTGTAAATCTCTGGGGTTCTGCACATATGACTCTAGAACACACGCATCACTATTTAAGAGGCTTCAGAGGTGATGTCATACAACCTTTGACACAAAGCATGGGATCCTAGTGACATCATCAGTTAGGTAGAAGTATGACATTAGTTGCTATTGCTATGGTAACCAGGAAAAGCTCTGAAGTGATTCATGCTTTCTAGTGAAGGAGATGTTTCAAACCATCAAAACATTTCCAAATCAATTCATTCATATTGAGACATTTTTCCAACCATTTAGACTAGCTTCAGCCAATGTGGCTGTAATTGATAAAGGCTTAACAATGTGCAAAACACAATCACCCAGTTTCCCATTAAATCTGCTCAACAGTGTTTTCCTCATCAAAAACATCTTTTGATGAGGAAAAGTGTTTGATGAACTCAGGTTAAACTGTGGCTGTGTCTCATTTAGACATTCATTTATCCAGACTGCAGTCATGCAATCTTCATCATTTCACTCTATACTGTAGTATTCTCAAACGTTCCCATTTGTGTACCGTGTGTATTACTTGTTCATCACATGTAATACATGAGTTTACCACAAAATCACACACATGTGCTTTTTTACATGTGTTTCACATCATTCACTCTATTTTGTAGGAAAATGACATACTTTTAAAATGCAGCTACAACTTTTTGTCTTGAGAGATAACACAAATGGTTGTGCTGATATGAGGTTTTCTATAATTGGGGCAAAACGGGTTGTAGTGGTTAGTAATTAAGTTACTTTTTAGGTATTACTCACCAATGACAAGGTTCACTGTATTCTGGTGAAGGCTTCTTTTTCTATCACCAAGAATTCCTGTCTTTCCAGTCACTGAACATGTTGACATTTCTTCAAGAGTGAAGAAAGAGTCAATTCCATTTCTAGTCGTGTTTTTGTACCTCTATGTTTAGTCAAATGCCACAGAGTTTGCTGTATGGTTTGTCAAAGACGCACGCTGTAAATAATTTAATATAAACTCCAAAATAGATCATGTCTTTTAGTTGAAACTAGTCACATGAGTTCTCTAATACCAGCCACATCTTACAGACATACCTTTCCTTCTTTAGATTGTAATTGGTTGTTGAAAGAAACTACTAACTGCTATGTTCTGTAGCTGCTTGAACTTTTTTTGTTTGGAGGACATCACTCTCTGCTGGACCAGATTTGGAATGTAAACAAAGTCTTTTAATATCATGGTAATGTAACCAAGGACTTTTGTGTATTTTTTTTTTCTAGTCATATAACGCTTTCCCCCCCATTTCTTTCTTATTTATGAACCAGATCAACACAAACACACCATAAACACCTAAAGGACCACAATGGACTCGATTTGTTATTGGATTTCCTCCTTTTGCTTCTGTGTCTGTTCACTTCGTTTGTCTGATTTGTCTACATCAACCACCAATAGTTGTTCCATGAACAGCGTTTTTCACCTGATTTAAAGAATTTTATAAAAAAAATAAGTTTCTCTGATTTTATTCTTTATAGGTATGTTTGAGTGAAATGAACATTGTTCTTTTATTCTATGAATTACTGACAACATGTCTCTTAAATTTGTTTGTGAATGTATGTAAATGAGCAGTTAGATTCAGAAAACTGCACGAATGAATATCTTCTCATGGGTCTTAGCCCTGTTGGGGGCCAAGCACCCCTAAAGGTCAGATCCTCGAATCGCCCCTGTTAGTAGTATTAAAAGGCGTAGGGCTGGGAGGATGGGGCTGGGGGCGGGTTCCATCCGGTCGCATTAAAGGTGGTCATGTCTTAGAAAATGAATGGGTAAGATAAGAATAACACCCACTGGACGATGTCAACGAGATTAAAAGGTCAATATGGTTGTTTTAAATCCTGCCACCCTCAGCGCACCGATTACCTCTCCGGAGGACAAATGATGCGCACCCACACGAGTACAGATTTGGCGCATGCGCAGCGGTCGTGTTTGTATGGAATGTTCTGGTGCCTGTGCGACAGTTAGCATCCACAGTGAGGCGCAACCACAGCGGAGGAAGCCAGTGGACGAAGACAAGGGAGCTAGCGGCCCTTTGGCTGAGCTTATCTGGATATTGGGCGAAAGAAACATAGGGTGCTAAAATGACCAGTGAGTATCGACAAATAATTCCACTTCTAGGCAAATTTCTGGATATCGTGTGGTCTCTGTTTGGCTACTGATCGACTTTGGTTCCGTCTATTTCAGAAAATAGACGTACCCGAATCGGTGTATCTAACGTTCTGTTATGGCATTTGTTTGAACGTTTTTATTCATATTTAAGGCCAGTGCCGTGCTGTCTATGGTTAGTTTGCCTGAAGAGACTCTTGATTTAAAGTGTGTTCCACCTGACTGTGTGTTACATAAGAGGCGTCTTTCATTGTCTGTGGGTCAGTGGAATGTCTGTTCCGGTTGTTAGCCTGAGCCCTAACTTACAGCACGAACGGGTTTTGTTTGACGTTTCCTCGCCTAATTAGAAGCAGGTGGCGTGAATAGGGAACAGGACGTCAGCAATGTGAGTAGAGGTGATCTTGAAAACGCTCTAGAGTGGTTCTACCAGTGTCACCATTCGTTAATAACCCCACTGGTTGCGACAAAGCGCTGGTGGAGGCATTTCTTCCTGAGGCGCTGTTCTTTGGCTGCTGCTCCGCAGCGCCGCTCTGCCACGTCGGCTGCTGTAACTTGAAGTCCCATTAAATATTTTATCTATCCGTTCTATTTTCTATGCTATTCAAACAAACTATTACATAACGAGTTCTTGGGCACAATGCATTTTCTTGCTTCAGCGTCTTAAAGGACCGTACCCCCGAGGTGTTTGTTACTGATGTGCCGCCGCTTTTTGTCACTCCCGCAGGAGGCAACCAGCGCGAGCTCGCGCGCCAGAAGGCTGCCAAGAAGCAGACCGAGCAGAGCAAAGGCAAGCGGAACGAGGACGGGCTCTCCGCTGCTGCCAGGAAACAACGGTGAGCGCCCGGAGCAGCACTTTCGGGACTTTATTTATGTTTCGCAAAATGAGTGTAGGTTGTAGATTTACTTTAGTCATGTCCTAAATTTGGAACGGAGTTGCTTCTTTAGTTTCCCTTTCTACTTTTTGCTTTTTTTCTTTTGAAGTTCATTTTTTATTGTTGTTTTCTAAGAAACGCTATCGAAACCACCTGTTTCCGAAGATTCATCCACGTTGTCAATGTTTCGGTGTTAAAGTCAACTAAAATAACAATTGAATGTAAAAAATGCGGAGAATTATTGTCGTTTTTGTTGGGAATTTCAATATTTCCACGTTAGAAATGCACTTGCAGCAGTGTTTTGTATGTTAAGGTTCTGGCTAAAGATTTTGGGTATAATGGCACGTTGAAGAATCATTGTTAGATGAATTAAACTATCTCAGGTCCAACTTATAGAACAAAATAAACAACCCATTTTTTTATTCTTACCTTTATTTATTCAGATGTTTTTCTAAGAGCATGTGCTCCACATTCTTTTACAGATGTTTTGTTTTGTGTTTGACTTTCCCTTTTCTTTCTTTAAATGGGATTATTTTTAGTTTGGATTTCATGAAATCCAGACATTAACTCTGACTTGTATGTTTGATAAATTCTTACTTTAAAAACACAGAAAGAGCTTGTTGTCGTTTGATTCATGTATTGTAGTTCTCTCAACTAATTGGAGATGTTTTTGTTTCTGCCATAGGGATGCAGAAATCATGCAACAGAAGCAGAAAAAAGCAAACGAAGCAGGGAAAGCAGGCGAGAAGTCCAAGTGAAAAATGACATGGAAGAAGAATTAAACTCACTGGTTTTGAGAACCTCACTTGTTCAGCATTCTTTCCTGATATTTATGAGAATGGATCTGTCGGTTTTGTCTAGACTTCGAGAATCCAGGATCCACCAAATCTTTCTGTGGCAAAACGATTGCTTGTCGGAGTCACTTTCCATGGTTAAATTGAACAAACGCCCCCGACGCGGTGCAGCGTGCAGAGCACCGTCAGCGGCGTAAGCAGGATGAAGTGGAGCAACTCTTGATGTGAAAGCATCTGTGTAACAGTTGTGTATTTTTGTACAAAAACAGTGTCCCTTTCTGATTTCAAATAAAGTGTATCTTTTTATTTCATGCTTACTTATTCCGAACGTTTGTGGTTGGAGTTTGTGTAGCACTTAAACTCATTTATATAATATAATGAACATGTACCTGGAGATGAGCTGCATTTAGAGAAAACTCATTTCTCTAACTATTCTTTCATATACATAATTTAAATAAACGTACCAACTCTTAAATTCCCCTTTGAGTGAGTGTGTGTATGCATGGTTGTTTATGTTTCTCTGTTTGTTTGTTTTTTACATAAAATTGCTGAACTTTTAACTTTTTTTTCTAATACAAATAAAGGTTAGGTCTGAAGTAGTATAAATAAACCATTGATTATCAGACTGATAAGCATATGGATCATCTCCAAGCTGCATTAAACATATGAAAACACTGGGATTACACACACCAGGTCGTGTTTTCATGTACTGAAGGGATTGTGCAGTTTACAATGAGCAACAGACCATAGAAACATGAACATTTATTTATTTTTCAGGCCATAAATTGCAAAAAGATTTCCCAAAACATTGGAAATTTCAGATGATATCAGAGGCATTAATGTTTCATTGTTAGTAGTTCAACATCGCAAGAATCAAGATTAATAGTAATAAAATGTTTAAAAAAATGTATTCATTAGTTAGTCAGACCTTTTCATGTCGAAGATGGACAGAATCACTTCTAACAAAACGATGTAATAATTATGAATATGGGACCAGACAAGCTGAGTTTTTAAATTAAAAAGCATAATAAAAAAAGTATAAATATTTATCAATACCAATTAAGATTTCAGGTAATATATCAAAGCGTGGAACTTTGATATGAGTGAAGAGTTTTAAAATAGATCATTAGAATAAAGCTGAAGCGGCAACACATGGCCACTAGGTGGAGACAAACGCTGCAATAAACACAGGTAGTTTTAACAGCAAGCTGGTGACATTTATTAAATGCTCTCCTGCAGAACTCAAACCACTCATTCTGTGCATGCATAATAAATAACACACAGTAGGAACAGTTACGGGCACATTTAGTATCTAAAGATTAATCTGAAGAACAGCAGGAACATGAGAGTAAAGCATCAGGTTTGCTCAGAAAAAAAAAAAACCCAAGAAGATATGAATCGCTTCTCCAGCATGTTTGTGTCCTTCATTTTCAGATTACAGAGTGACAAATGTGTCTGCTTTCAATCTCAAGCAGAGAGAGCAGGTGAGGAACTGAATAGTGATGAGAGACAAAATGCAGCATCAGCCAGCAGCGTAAATGGGAGAAAACTCAAATCTGATCCGCTATTATCTGCTGCTCTCTGCTCAGCGCTTTTGCATAAGATCTCATTTAAATTCAAGCGTCAGGAAGACAAGCTGCAGGGTGTGGGTTCTGGTCTGGTGTGTTTTTCTTTTCTTTTTCTTGACGCGTCAAGCGAGAACCCCGGTGATCATGAGAAGTGTAGAGTGCAAAGAAAAGCTGCAGTCTGATTAAAATCATAAACAAGCTTCTCTCATCAAGCTTTTTCTTTCATTTCGTTTTCTAACCTCTTAAAAGTGCAGAAAATAGTTTGCTTTTGATAGAACTTTAAAATGTGCGCCTGATATCAGACTTCAAGCAATGATAAGCCGGTTTGATGTAATACAAGTGTTCCTGCTTTTACGGCTGAAACATTCTGGGTGACAAAAACGTGGCTTGGTTTTGGTCTCAAAGTATTTTTGAGCAACTTCAATGCATTCCTCGAAAAAAAATTGTATTATTTCCCACCAGAATTTCCTTTTTCCCCACTCAACTGACCCTCCAGAGTTATCCTGGGCCGAGTAAATCTTCACGTGTTACAGAGGACAGTTTCCCTCAGCTGACTGATTATAAACCCTACTTCATGAACTTTGCAACATAATCACATCTGAAATGCGATGCGTTAACATTGAATCGCAGATTACTCTTCTTGTCCATCGTGACACCAGATAATCCAGCAGTGTTTAAATGGGATGTCAAGGAGAAATGCAGAAAAAGCTGGAAAGAATGAAATGAGTTCAAAAATTCCCTCTAAAATTTCAAGAACCTTGAGTATCTCTAGAGACACACGTCTTTATGTGTGCTGTGATCATCACTTTTGTCCAACCCTACATGGATCCCCTTTATGCCATAAAAGACACTCAAACCATTGTTGATGCCCAATGCTTTAATATGTTAGTGATATCTAGGATCAAAAAGAGGCAAATCCTATAACCTCAGATCACTCACTGGCTTGGCGAAACAGTGATGGAAAGAGTTTAGCTGGCTCTACTTCAAAGCCTTGGAATGATCGTTCTTCCCCAGTCGGTTCTGGTCAGATTCGTCTCCATTTGCAGATCCTGTACCTTTGTCCCCCCCCCCATTTGTAAGTGATTTGATTGGCAGCAGACTTCATTCGTTGACTGGGTCGTGGATTTGCACGGCCTTCACTTGAACAACATAATCAACCATTCAATTAAAGTTAACTTTCATTTTTCTAGGCTTATTCATTCAGATCTGGTGACCTTAGAGACTCGTTAGACCGCATTCAGAATAAAAGACAGTTCAGCATTTATGTCAAAAACATGTAATTTATTCATTTATCTTAAAAAATTAAAATAAAGTGCCTTTTATATACAATAAAAACAACAATCACAATCTCAATAATACAAAAAAATACAGTTCACAAATTTGTACACAGTTTAAAAATAAAAAATAAAAAAAATCATGCAGGCAAGACCACATTTGTCTACTAATTATTCAGTCAACTAAGCTTCCGGTGTTCAGTATGCTGAGCCAATGCTTCGTCTCATGGTTGAGGGTTTTGGAGTTGTGCTTTGCGACGTTTTTCTGCTGTACTATATCATGCAGCACAGTGAATCCAGTGCTCCTAAAGTGGTTTATTTTTGTAGTTCAGACATTTTTTTTAGGTAAATCCTGAAAAAAAAAATAAATTAAAATAAAAGTGGGAGCTATATATTACCTGGATTTTTAGGAAAATAAGACTGCTGTAGAGAACAGGCTACATTCAGATCCAGTACAGTTTCATTTCTGAGGAAGTGTGTTTTGCACATCAATGTCACAGGTTTATCATATAGGACCCAGTGAAGTCAAAGAGTTTGTAGCTTTTTGTAATGCAGCTTAACAATGTGTATAGTAAAAACACTGATTGCTTAAGATGCTGTTGACGGTCTCCATGTTTCTATTTGTATTTTTTTTCTTCCATATAACCCAAGGCTGCAGAATGGAGCAGCAATCGGTTCTGTTTGTAGGCAAACATAAAAGCGGCATGGGTGATTATGTAAATCTGCTAGCGACCCGTGTTGCGTAGTGGAGTTAAGTGTGCCCGCTGGGGCTACAATCGCGCCATTGACCACATTTCTGTTGACGAGGTCACTGCTGGGTAGCGTACAGTGCAGCACACAGCTGAAGGCAGAAAATCTTCAGATCTAAACGCTAAAGGCATTTCGTTGTGTGGCGGCGTTAACCATCAAGCACTTCAACACAGGTTACAGAGACAATTTGTTTGTAGAGTTCATCTTACTGTGTACCTCGGATAAAATCTTTATTTTTTTAATTGGTTGAGTTTCAGCCAACAGTACACAATGTTAGAGAGTAACTTATTTGTTGACAACAGCTGCAAATATCTAGCTTCTGTTTCTACACTACAGTTTTAAATATACAGTGTTTGCTTGGCAAGTGTAAAACCAGGGAAGTTACTATTAGGCTTAATATTAGCTAAATATTTTTGTTGTGATTATTGAAATAAATTAAATAGAATATATATACCACTAGAACACAAATATTAAAATATTTACTCTTTAGTCAGCAAGTAAAATATTGAATATAAAAAAATAATTTCTTTGCCCTCAATGTAAATTCGTTTATAGAAGCCTAGCAAACCACGCTAAGCAGCATCCATGAGCTAATTAGAGATGTTTTTGTAGTTCAACTAAATAATACAGGGGGGGAAAAGCATAAAAATGAATGTAATGGCCACAATCTGCATTTTCAGTTGTGTAGTTAAGTGTTAAATATAAAAACAAAAGAATAAAGGCTTCTTCTTTCCACCCCAAGTTTTAATTTGTTGACAGACGGCTAGCAATCTAAGCTAAGTAGCAACTATGTTAATTTGTGGGTTAACTTACTTTAACAATCGCTACTAAACAGAAAAGTAATGAAATTTAAAACTATAACCAGAACTCAAACATTAAAATTGCATTTTTAGTAACTCAATACAATGTGAAATATTATTCGACTTTTAAGTTTTTGTTTTAGCTTCTCTGGCTAGCACGGGTAGAAGCTAGCTACAGTTACTAATTTGTACATTTTAACCGTTTTCTTTTTAGCCATTCCAAAATTCCCATATTAAACAATAAAGAATTGCTGTTTAACAATTCTGGAGGCTACTTAAAAGCCAATTATAGATAAAAAATAAATAAATAAAACTGAGTATCCTGTTTTGAGGTGCTTGATCAGAACCAGGTAAGGTGTTGAACGAATAGTGTGGTGAAACGTGTGTTTGCTCAAGTCGGCAGTAAAGCACTATGTAAAAAAATAAAAACAGGAAAAAAAAAGACATAAAAATAAAATACTCAGCAGTGTTCACTCTCTAGTTTAAGACTACCTCTACGACACATCTTGCACAACGTCCCGTAACGACACACAATATTTAGCACAGGCACTGTATTTACACAAGAAACGACCTGGAAAAGAGGAAACGCTGACCATTGCTGTGCCGTTACTTTGTCAACCTGGAGCAGCTTCTGATCTGCTTAGAGTTGAAAATAGCCATTTAATACTGGAATATATATTGTATCGTTATTTGTTCAACATATAAAGTCACTGTGTATTCTAAGACACTTTGCCACATTGTAAAGGATTCACAATCAGACTGGCAACGTCATTAGCTTTCAGTTTCTTTGGAAATTTTTCATGTGATTTTGTTTGTAAGTCTCAAAAGGTCCGAGTGAGACACAATGCTTATAGATGGTTGCACTGGTCCCCGTTTCAACTGATATCCTCCCCCCTCAAAAAAAATATTTATTG